CAGCCTGGAAGGAGTCTTTCATAATACCACTTCACAAAAACGGCAGCGGTCGTCTATAGAAAACTATCGAGGCATAGCGAAACTCTCCGCTATCCCCAAATTATTCGAAGCAATTATTGTTAACCAGCTGACATATTCTATATCTTCTTCAATTACACAATCTCAACACGGGTTTTCTAAAGGAAAATCTACTATGACTAATTTATTGGAGTTTACAACTCATGTCTCAAACGGTTTTAGAGAAAATGCTCATACCGACGTAATATACACCGATTTCAGTAAAGCTTTTGACAAAGTATGTCACTCGTTACTCATCCGTAAACTCGACCTAATCGGCTTTCAGCCCAGTCTTCTTCAATGGATCTCATCTTACCTCTCTGATAGAACACAAAGAGTTATTGTTAATAATTGTTCTTCCAACATCATTAAAGTTTCTTCAGGAGTTCCTCAGGGAAGCCACCTTGGTCCGATTCTGTTCCTGATATTCATTAATGATATTTCTTCTATAATAAAACATTCAAAAATTTTAATGTATGCCGATGATGTGAAACTTTTTAAAACATTGTCCTCTATCGAAGAAAGGTCTTTGTTACAAGCGGATCTGAACAACGTGGTTAGTTGGTGTAATACAAACTATATGCCACTAAACCTTCAAAAATGTAAAGTTATGTGTTTCTCTCGGAGGGCTGTTCAACCAGCTGTTTATTCAATATCAAATTATAATCTGGAGCAGGTATCCAATTTTGTCGATCTTGGTATCACAATGGATTCCAAACTGAATTTCAACCATCATATTAATGTTACAGTCAATAAAGCCAAAGGCGTTTTTGCATTTGTAAGGCGATGGTCAAAAGAGTTCAAAGATCCTTATGTTACAAAAGCTCTTTTTAACAGTTTAGTTAGACCTATACTAGAATACGGATCTATTGTTTGGAATCCCCGCTACCAAGTTCATTCAGAAAGGATTGAATCAATTCAAAAACAATTCTTGCTTTTTGCATTGCGTAATTTTAACTTGGAATTCAGATTACAATCTCCCCCCTTACACAAGTCGTCTAAAGCTCATAAATTTGCCTACACTCGCAAGTCGTAGAGAAATGCTGGGTATAATATTTATCGTAAAATTAATGACAGGCTTGATTAATAGCCCGGCCCTCCTGGCTGAGGTAAATTTTAATGTTCCTTCTCGAATGTCAAGACACTTTCGACCTCTATTTTTAAAGCCATGCAAAACTAATTTTGAATTAAACGAATCATTCCGTGGTTTATGTCAAGATTTTAACTGTCATTCCAGCACGTTTGACGTATCGGACTCGATTTTTACTATAAAGAAAACTATTATTTCCACTCTCAATAATTGAAATACTATCTTTAGCATATCCAATCAGCTGATGAATTTGATTCTGTAGCTGAATAGTTTTAGATCTCGACACTTAACAAACTCCTGTTTCCACTACTCGGCAC